GGGTCGGTTATATTATGATAATTATCCTTAAAAATAATTATTCAAAATATATTTTATTAGGAATAATTATCTGTTTATTTAACCATCTGGGCTGGGCTAATTAAATAATTTAAGTGGACCAAGTTTGTGCCAATTAACTAACTTAATTAAATATTAGGCCCATATTTAATGATTCCATTTGTCAAAACCAAAGCCCACTAAAATTTTAGTGTCTACAGGATGTGATCAAACAAACAAAAGACCCATGTCAAACAAAACCACCATACAATGCAGGGATAAACCATAGAGCCCATGATAATCATGCCCATACTGCATCATCAGCCATTCAAAGAAAAAAGCATGTTTGAGAAGCTTATGATAGTGTCGTTGCATGATAACAACGCCACAAACGCCTGACCAGATGTTTAACTTTGACACCCTATTCTGACACGAAATAGTACAGCGCAAAGCTCGAGGACGTCGAAAGGTCGCCAGAGTCGGAATCAAATAGTACGGCCAGTTTTCCGAGAAGCCTTCATCATCAATATCATCATCAGCAACATCAAACCATTTTTGATACTGACTAACCACCAAAATCCTAGCAACGAAGGCAAACTATCCTTAGTCTGCTGCCAATACAAGTCAATAAGATGTGTGAAGCAAGATAACATCGACGAACCATCAACAGCGAGACTTATGTCTGCACCAGAAACCCATCTTTGACTAGCGTGACAAAGCATTCCGACAACGCCAAGCCACGACCAATAGTCGACGACGGCCGGAGTATACGCATCGCTGACCAGAGCAGAAGGACGGTTCGTGATCGAAAGACATGCAACTCGCAAAAGCTTTAAATATAGTCCCAAATTTAACGGTGAATACACCCTCAAACAGCACGACCATGCGATAGTATGTGAAGGCCACACTGAGACCCAAAATAGAGACACGAAAACACCACGATAAAGCGAAAGTCCAGGCATCAAGCACGAACCCACCTGTCAATCCGGTCAAAGCCTTATCCGTGTGAGTAATGATATGAAGCCATTATGTCTATACACACTAAAGATTCCTAATTTTTTCCCAAGATTTTCTCACATTTTTGAAGGCTATTATTGAGTTGATGTTGAAATATAGTTTTAGACCCGACCTAATATATCTTACCATAATCCAAAAGAAGACACATTTAATATAATACAATAGGAAATAAATACCTAGTCTACTTTTAGATGAAACTTTGTCCACTCATACAGCACCTTAAACTCAATCTTGCTATGTAATACCCCTGATTTCAAAAAGATAGTCCTGGTATTTATTAAATTGTTTAAATTGCATTTATTTTTATTTAATTGTTTATTTGTTTTATTTATTTATTTAACTGGCCTTTTATTTCTATTTGTATTAATTGTTGACGTGATCATGTGTTAATTGTAATTGTTTTCATTGTGGTGATTTAATGGTCTTTAATTATTTACTTGTTTTAATTGAATTGATTTAATTATAGATAATTATTTAACTGATGTAATTTAGTTGTTTTAATTGAATTAAGTTAATTAAATTTAATTGTTTTTAACGTGACTGTATGGAGGCACACATATAGTTATATTAGGGTTTTATTTACACGGATGTAGCCGACTTAGGGTTGGTTTTGTATTAGAATTAGGGTTGGGTTGAAGCCTATAAATATAGTATTATACGTTGGTTTAGGGTTACAAAACAAAACCCTATTCACTGATACTTATACCGTGAGATAGAGAGATACAGAGAGTGGAAACTAGGACGTTATCGGAGAGGTTCAAGGATACACTGGACGGAGTGCTTCTGGGTTGAACCAAGAGCACCTGAGGTGTAGAACAGGAGTCTCAGACGTGGACAGAAGTTTCAAAAACAGTGGTTTAGAGTTTCAAAACTGAAACTCAAGGCAAGTCACTATTCTATTCCTTTCCTTTAATTCGTGTTCTGTGCATGCTAGTTAGACTCCGGGGATTTAAATAAAGGTTAAAACAGTGGTAAACAAACATAATAACATGTTTTATGCATATCAGAATATTTGTTTAACCTCGTGAATTAACTACTTTACATAATCGTTGAGTTTTCTGGTACTTGTTTCTTATGAGGTTTATGATTAAACGTTGTTTTAATTGAGATTGGTAATACAGTTGGATGCCTTGTAATTAATCTGGGACTGAGTTTAAACTCTAGAACAAGTGCTTAGAACAGTCTTTAATTGTACTAAAGTAATCTGCATTAAGTTTGTGATGATTTGCTTAAAAGGCTTCTAACGGTGGTTCTGTAAGTGTGGTTTTAAAACTTGTGTTGCTATGCATGTTTATATTGGATCTCAGTGGTTTAAATTTTTCTAGGACTAAGATTGAACCTAGAAGAAGAATTAAAATATATTACAGAGGCTCTGTTAGTCACCGGAGTTGGAGATGACAAACAAAAACGGACGACGGCTCTCAAAGGAAGAGAACCAGCTCACCAAAAGAGGGAGCTGGCTCTAGGGCTTGAGGAGCCGGCTCCACAAGGGTGTAGAGCCGACTCTACAAGGGGTAGAGGCGGCTCCACTAAAGGGGGAGCTGGCTCCAATGTTCTGGAGGCGGCTCCAACCTCTTCTCTCTTCAGTTTTCGTGTTCTGGGTTTGGGTTTGGCCTGTAGGGAGTTTTCTAAATTATTCCAGAGGCTGTGGATGGTTTATACAACTATTCCAGAGATGTAAAAAGGATTAGGAAGTATGTTAGTATTAGTATTGAAGCATGAGACAACCTACGGTTACATAATGCACTGGTAGGTGGAAGGGTGAATAATTAACTTAAGTTGCTTACTGTTTTAGCAAATTGGTTTCTTTGCATGATCTTAAATTGGAAATCATGTCTCAGCTGTTTTATAGGCATATATTATTTATTCTGGAAAAAAAAATAAGTATGCTTAAATGGAAATTTATTGATGTTTTAATTATACTGTATATTGCATCAAGTTATGGTATTAATTGGAGGAGTTATGTGCGTAGTCCTACTTATGAATTTGAAGGACTGGAATAGAGTTTCTGAATCTTATATTGGATGTATATTTTAATCATAAACATATTAGACTGTATGTATGTTTTTCTGGGGTATGGTTGATGACTATCTATTACTGTGTTGTCAACTGTATTAATTGGAGGATGGTATGTACCGGTATGGGACGGTGACATACTAGGTATGGACTCGTTTAAACACTAAGTCCTGCCTAATTTGGATTAAGGTACGAATTAACCATATAGGTTAAGTCCATTACCTACTTGTGTTAGGTCAACAAAATAGTTGGATGACTTAATATGGTTTTAGGACGGATGATTATACATATATTAGACCACTACACAGATGGATGGTATTTTGTATTAGGAGGAGTACGGACTTTATATATTTATTATATGGTACCATGGTATGAGCTTGAGTCTCAAGACCATGGCTAGGGCGCATATATCGCCTAGGATGGATAACTGGACATAGGTGTTGTTCCCTGGTAGGTTTAGGTACACATGACCACTTTATGTGCGATTTGCATGGTATCTCTACTCAGGCTGAGATAGACCTACTGGACTAGCGAACGTCCTATAGTGTGTACTATATATATACATATGGACTACTCTAGATATTGTTGAGTCTTCCTAGGATGTATCTGCGTATCGGATTACTGTTTGGATCGTAGTAGAATAGGACTTGCATGTGGGCCTGACCCACTCTCTTATTTTTTTCAGGTGTTAGTCAGTTCCAGGGTTAGAGCTTGGACGTGCAGAACAGATACAGACATTCATTCCTCCGACTACGTAGGAATCTTTTCTATGTTGACTTTAAGTTTCTATTTCAGATATTTTAGTTTCAATTGGGATTTTTAATAATAAAGGGTCCACTAGATGGATTCCCGAGTTGTAACTTATGGAGTTTTGGAGTTTGGATTTAATAGATTTCATTAATTATATTTTGAGAATTTCAATTAGTATTCTTCCAGCTTATTATTATTATTTATCTCATCTTGTATTCTGTGTTCGGTTATATATTAATTGTTTGATATTTCCCTCAGGTTTAGGCCCGGGCCTGATCAACCCGTGTCTCGGATCTGAGGGGTATCACATGTTATATGTTCCTAGTAGCATATACATCAACAAACAAATATAAAATCCAGTTAAAGCAATATAAAATTATTTGGAGAGTTGGATTTATACACTCTTTAATAGCTTTAATGTTGAATTTGGGAGTTCATCCTCCTTCTGGACCCCTGCGGTTTTGTGGGAATTGGATCCCAGATGCAGAATGATTCTTCAGTATTGGATCCAAGGAGCGCGGGATGGAGAAAGCTAGGTTTTTGTCTTACATCTCGGAAACCGAATGCTAGACTGAGCTGCTGCAGGTAGTATCCGAACTTCTGGTGACTTGAAAGAATTGAAAATTGTTAAATGGGTAGCCTGGGGCCATGATTCAGATTTTTTTAGCTGTAGTGTGTTTTATTCAAGAGATCCAGTCTATTGCAACTTCGTATGCCACTACAAGAAAAAGGGTTATTAGTGACAGACCTCTAGGGACAGTACAAAAAACTGTCCCTAAAGACCCTATTTTTAGGGACAGACTTTAATTACTGTCACTAAAGACACACTTTTTGGTGACAGTCCAACCTGTTCGTCCCTAAAAGACCAAAAAAAATAAAAAATCCCTCCAATCTGGTGGCGGCAAAACTTAGCGCCATTTTTAGTGAAATTATAATTTTTTTTAATAAAAAAATTATCAAAATAGCCTTTTGGGACAGTAAAGTTACCATCCCTAAAAGGCCACTGCAACATTAGTGACAGTCCTTTAGCGACCGTCCAAAAAACCGTCCCTAAAGACCTTTCTTTTGGTGACGGTACACGTAGACGCTCGCTCCAAATTTTTTTGGGGGAAAGTTTAGCGCCCTTCCTTCGACGATATGTGTGTCAATATATATATATATATATATATATATATATATATATATTTACTTTTTGGGAAAAGAAAAAATAATGGTCAGACGTTGTCGTTTTGGCTTATTTGTATACTTTTACCCAATTCCCAATCTCAGTCTTCTCTCTAGAACATCCCACAGATGCCTCTCTCTCGGTACAATCACTCTGTACTCCACCGGAGGCCTCTCTCTCTACCAGCACTCTTCTAGTACGTCCTCCCTCATAGTCCGCAGGACGCCTCCCTTTCTCTCTCTAATCACTCTTCCCTCAAGCTCAACAGATCGTCCGGGTTTGTGTCCTTCTTCACTTACTGATTGAGTTTTTATTATTATTTTTTATTTTTTTTATTTCTTTTTGTTCACGCACAGAGAATTTTTTTTCTTTTTGTTTCTTTTTTTTTACAGTTTGATCATATGCATCAGATCTGTTCTCTTCTAGGGTAAACTTTGGCAGATGAAGCTTGGGAGAAAATACAATTAAAGTTGCTCTCAGTTTCTTTCATATTCCATTTTGGTAATCAAAATTTTCCGCAGTCTTTTTTTTTTTGCTCTATTATTATTTTTTGTACTTCGCTTAATATTATTTTTATATTCTTTAGGTTTTTGTTATTTTGTTTATTTTAGAGTGATTTGAATAAAAGAAAATGCCAGGACTGGTCAACAAGTTTATCTTTGCTATTATTTCAGGATTAATGAATTAATTAATATCACATCATCGTTCTTGAATTAAAGGTTGGGAAGTTAATAGCTTGTGATTTTTTTCATCTAATTCATTTATTGTTATTTCATCACATTTTTTTTGTTGATTGTGAAAGGTGAATATATATAATTTAAGGGCTTAAATATATTTTTGAATTTGAAATGTTCAAAGAAGAAATTCAGAGCCATTTGGTACTTGTAACTTTTGAAAAATGAATTAAAAAATTAGGGTTTAAAAGAACAGAGTTAACAAAAGTAAATCAATGTATTATGTAGCTCTTAAATGAATACTAACATGTCCTATTCCACTGATTTTCACTTGATAATAGAAAAGTAAGATGGTATAAAACAAAACAGTTTTTAATCTAGCCTTCCATGGGTCTGTTGTCATTTTTCTCTATGGAACGACAAGCTTATAGAAGGAACAACAATTTTCTTGTTAATTTATGGTGGAATAAAATGCCAAACCAGATACATTACATATTACCATCAAGTTTTTCAAACTCTGCCTCTTTATGTGTGTGTATGCACACATCATGACAGCATTTTGATTCTGATACATTCATTTTGTTACATGGTTTACTTGCTTAATTATTTTAATCTATTACTTTATGAATCCCGCAATGCCCTCATCTTTTCTTATTAATTACGCATTTGAGTGCTACTCAATCTCAATTCTCAAATTGTTGTACGTACACTCATTCATACAGTGACCTTACTCGCAACTACCTTAACGGTACTATTCCTCCAGAATGGGGTTCCATACAACTAGTGAATATATATGTTATACACAAACACACACATCCATATTGAAACTTCTCTTGTTCTAACAAATATATGACATGATGGTTTTGTTGCAGCTCTCTCCTTGGAAATCGATTAACAGGTTCAATCCCAAAGAATTCGGAAACATAACCAGACTCAGAAGCTTGTAAGATTTGGATAACCAATTTCTTTCACATTTAGGTACATGTGATATAAAATTATGCTTTTATGATTTTAATTTTGGTGTTTTTAGAGTCCTCGGGGACAATCAGCTTTCTGGAGGTATTCCTCTAGAGCATGGGAATCTTCCCAGCTTGGAGAAAATGTAAGACCCTTTTATTTGTTTTTTGATTTTATGGTGTTAGTTTTGTCTGTGTACTTTATGAATGTGTAATTTTATTTTTTTTTTAAAATTGGTAATACGTCTGAGCGTTCAATTTGAAATTTGAGGTCAATTGACCATTGGCTTAATTAATTTTTGTTATTTTACCGGGGAGTTGCCGGGAACACTTGCAAATCTGACCACTTTGAAGGACTTGTAAGTGTCTAAAGTTAGTTTATTTTTTGTTTTTCTAAATACTTATTTATTTCCTATTTTTAGAATTAATTGTTCTTCTTTTTTTTTTTTTTTTTTTTTACACATTGCAGTAGGATTAGCAACAACTTTAAAGGAAAGATACCTAATTTCATCCAAAACTGGACAAAACTCCAAAACTTGTAAGATTTTTACTTTACTTGTTTTGATATTTCAATTTTTCTTTGGAAGATGTTCTCTGTTTAACCATTCATTTAAACAAAATTATGACAGGATGATTCAGGCTAGTGGTTTGGATGGGCCAATTCCTTCTGGAATTTCTCTCTTGGAAAATTTGTCTGACTTGTTAGTAAATTCTTATAATGTCATAGCTTTACCCTTTTATATAAGAAAATATCTAATTTATGTTTATTCTTTGATAAATAAAAACAAATGCAGGAGATTCAGTGACTTGAGTGGAAGTGAAACAGCTTTTCCACCTCTTAGTAATATGAAAAGCCTGAAGACACTGTACGTAGAAAACTTCTATATTCTCTTATGGAATATATTAATATCTTCTTGGTGTTTTGGAATGATATATATTTAAATATATTTGATTGCATCGCAGGATATTAAGGAGTTGCAATATTATGGGACAGATACCTGATTATCTTGGAACAATGACAAATTTGAAAACCTTGTTAGTTCTTTTCCATTCTCCATTTTCATGTGTCTCATTTTCTTAAAAAGCGTTTTGATCACATACTTATCTCTTGTTTGATAGCTCAAAAGCTTACTAAAACTGTAGTCGAATTTAAATATATATTCTCTATATTTTTGTTGTCTTCCTTGTGTTATTGAACATATAGGCACCTTTAAAACAATTGAGTGATGTTATATAGTATTATTAAATGAAATGTTTCCTATTATATATGTGCTTTAGTTTGATGAACTTTTAGCACAATAAAAAATAATATGGCGAGTGGACTTGTGTATTTATTAAATAAGTTTAAGTTTACTCAACTATCTTTATTCTTTAATTTTACATATTTAAGCAAAACTCTTAGTACTTCTTTCAAGAAAAAGAGTTGTTTATACTTTCGTCTACTTGACAATTGCTTCAACATTAGACAATACAATGTTATCTTGGAGCCTTCATTTATATTTTTCTTTGCTGGTCCCTTCAGTTCTTAATGTTTAAGTTCTGTTTATATTTCACTTAAATTTGATCTTGTTCCATGTTTTTAAAAAAAAAAATTTGGATCAAAATTTATTGCTTCGATGAGTCACATTATTGGCAATTTTTGGAGTACCAGCACTTCTACAATTTACCTTGTGAAATTTTTTATATGATCCAGATGTTTGATTCATCTTTATGTGTATCTTATCTTTCTTCTCAATGAGACCAGATTTATATAGCATCATTCTCCATTGGAATGGTAGTAGTTCCTCATTTTTAAGTACTTCTCATTAGAATGGTAGCAGTTGCTCATTTTTAAGTAATTCTTTGTACCCTTTGACTATGGATCTAACAATATCCACTTTCTCTCTCTACACAACTATTCAATTTGTAATGAGACTATATTGGTCTTTGCTTGTTAAGCACCAAAGCACAAGGACAAGGACATATGTTTTTATTCCTCAAGTGAATGAGATTGCTTATTGAAAGAGACAAAGTGGATTTTGAGGTAAGATCCCTATGTTTGCATATGTTTCTTCTCTCCCCCTTTTTCTCTCTCTATATATGTATATTTAGATCTATATTGTGTTGTTTCTTGAATTTTTCTACTGGTTAATTTTTATACACAACTATTCAATTTGATTTGGTTTTTAAAAAATAATTGGAGGCAACAATCCTACATTTAAAGAGAAATTCGTGTTTACTCTGATTTGAGGGCTTGGAGAGTTGAATATTGTGATCTGGAATAGCAATATTATCTCTCTGGCTATGATGACAACCTTCACTACTTCAGATGGACAGATATATGTTCTCGACTAAAGATCATTACTTCATGATTAACTCAGGTTTGGTGAATTTTGATTACTTCTGTCAAATTCATAAGATCCTAAATTAAATAAATGATGAGGTTGTGTTTATTTGTAAATCAATTGGGGGACTTTATCTTAATTTGGTTATTTTCCAGCTGTAAAAATGGATTGTTGCAGTTCTTTTCATGGTTCTTGTCTATGCCAGCGAGTCAATAAGGATCTACCTATTTAGAAATATACTTATGTCTTCTTTAACAATTTTGATGTAAAAGGACACTACAGGTTGCATTATTACATTATATATTGGGGATGGTTTGGTCAATTATCTCTGGAAGATTACAAAATTATCACTTACTGCAATTAGTTGGGGTGGAGGCTTTTTTTTTTTTTTTATAGTTAATTTAAGTGTCATTTATTGTATTTCTAATTCATGTTTACAATGTCAATCAGTGAAGTATGAGCCATCTTCTAGCAGTGTTTTTGGACCCAATGTTATTTACAACTCCAAGAATCAAGGTGATTTAGGTTCCCGTGGACAGTTGCATATGTTGTCTACATCAGTTCTTCTACCTGAGTGACCTGATCAACCTGAATGTCGATATTTCATTAGCACTGGGAGATGCAAATATGGGTTTGATTGCAAGTATAATCATCTTATGAAGGGAAGCTCAGTTGTTCATCTTTCAGCGGCAGTTAGCACCACAACCACAACCACCTGAATGACCAATAGATTGTCTTCTCTTTAGTCAATTGAATATAAAAGACATTTGAGCATTCTAGCTGAATATTTAGTTAATATCGTGTAATCTTTTTGGTTAATGGATTATTTGAGTTGGTATGTTTTGTTGAATATTTGGCTAATTTTACTGTGTTGTAAACATTTTATTATGATAATTAATGGTTTATTTCCGTCTCTCTTATGCTGAATATTTGGATTTTTAATTTGTTATAAAAAAACTTGATAAAAAAAAAAAACGCGAAAACACTAAATCTAGCATACCAATAATTATAATAAATAAATAAATAAATAAATAAAGCATTAGGGACAGTTTCAAACTGTCATAAATATAATAAAAAAAATTAAAAAAATAAAGCATTAGGGACGGTAAATAATAAATTTTAGTGACAGTATTATTTGGGACAGTAAGTCCATTCCTACAGCTTGAGTTTTTTGGTGACAGTCGATTTTTTCCGTCCCTAAAAATCTTTTGCGACGCTCTAATTAGTGACGGACGGATTTAATCATTAGTGACGGTTTTGGGGCTTTTTAGGACGGTCTTGACTGTCACTAAAACCCTAATTTCTTGTAGTGTGCTCTTACAAATCAATAACTAGACACCTTCTTGAGCAGAAAAGCATATAAGAAATCTCTTTCAACCCTTATTTGAGCTGTGTGCATAAAGAGTGATACTAATTATTCAAAAGAATTGTGAACAAACAACCATTACCAGACAAACATGAAAAGGAAAAGAAAAACTTAACAAGGTAGATGGAAAAAAAGTTAAAAACTAGTTGGGGAGATCTTTATCAAAATATTCTCCCGACAAAGGGAAATTTAGCTCAAATTCTTCTAGCAATTTCATCTACGGGATTCATTGAACCTCATGAAAAGAGCGAAATATGAGCAATTTCAGAACCTCTTGTATTTCAAATTTCTAAACAAAACCTATAAAATAATCTCATGCCCTCAATTTCCAAAAACATTCAGCCCAAACCTTAGCATCCTTCTTTGAGAGGGCACCAGGCAATACAATCTCAAACCTTAAAACTAAAGACGCAAACATTGATTTGGGAACAGTCCTAATTCGGACTTCTCTCCAAACATTTGAGCTATAATTGGGGCATTCGTTTGTCCTACATTTGAGATCTAATACGTGGAAGGACCAGACCTTTTTTAGCTATCAAATAACGAAGAAATTTCCCCCACAGTCTGTTTTCCATCTCTACATACTATATTTGTTCTCGATTCCCAACCAGCTGCTTTGTCTCTGAAAACTGAACTTCCTTTTATCAATCTAGATTTGGGATTGGATATGACTGAAAGGGGGCTATATGAGCTAAGCTATACACTTGTAAATTCCCTGAGAAATCATTCTTCTTTGAAGTCCAAGAATAATAGGGGTTTTATTGGAGTTTCGTATGCATACTTTGATTCTTAGTTTGATCTCATTTGTTAGCTCTACCTTGCACCACCGGCGACTCCAAACAAGAAGTCCAAGCCAGATGAAAAGCTCTAAACAAAGGAGCAAACAACTGCTAATTGCCTGAACAAAGTAAATGCACCCTTCACCTTCAAGAGCGTCAGGCTAAGCTCTGACCAGAATATGAAATCAGGTTGCTTGCTGTTGGTTTTCATTTATAGATAGCTAAGAATAAAACAAAGTGCTCGACTGTAGACCTCTTTACTAGACGTCGTTATCGGGGTTTGATTTTAATAATAGAGCACGCGACCTTCAGGCAAAGAAGGGCTAACAACACAGGAGCGGAAATCTTCCAATCAAACAAATGTCTTTCCTCTGTCAAAACCCAAACCTCATCAGTCAACTAACACTTTTGGGGGTTAAAAAATCGTACCAGACCTTGCCGTATCTACGCCAAGCGCCCAAATCCCTGGACTTATAGTCAACAAGCCCGTTCCAGACCTTAATGACCCTTATTCTGACTATATGATATTTCTTTGCTGAAGTTGGTGAGATCGCGTTACAACTTAGGATTTTCGGGGGCCTCTTCTGCACCCTTCCCTATGGCAACTATTATAAGGAGAAGGAGGTCGGACAGGTCATATTTCTAGTCAAAGGCAAATCATTGACCTTGTGGCAAATACGGTTCCTACTTTTGTTATGGGCACAGCCTTTCTGACACTCCAGGAGATACATTAACATCGCCCATGTTCTTTCTTTAGCTTCTCAATATCAATAGTGTGCGCATATTTTCTTTCTTGTTTTGCGCTTGCTTCTGGCTTGAACCTTATTTAGCTAGAGCTTAGGGTTAGTATCAATCAGTATGAGTTTCCCGCATTATCTGATGTTTGGTAAGACCTATACACTGTATACCCGGGAATGTAAAAAGATGAAAGCCAAGCTCGGAATTCTTCTCTCTGAGATCCCGAACTCCATAACTTGTGATTTAGCTTTCAAGCCTGAGAGGGGGACTCTCAATGCGTCTCCCAAAGTCTAACCGCAAGATAATTAGTCAACCTGAAAGGCAGAGCTATGCCATGCTATTCAGTTGGCTAAATTCATTCCACTAGCCTTACACAAGCCCTCTCATCTGCTACGGAATACCCAACGGGATTACAGCAACCTACTCTGTACAATCACCCGCTAGAGGCTAAGAAGCCGAAGGGTTGAAACGGCTCGTTATTGAGGTACAGCGGTGCGTTCAAAAGGATTCCCTTCGTTCGATGGAAATGGTCACCCGAAGGGCCTACCTAACCGGCTCCCTTGAAAGTCAGGCTTGAAAACGAAAGATCTGGTGGATGAAATGAAAGCTCAAAAGCGATTCAATGCCCCTTCTTTCCACCCTTGAATAAGAGGAGATGTTAACAAACTGAAGGTGAAAAGGAAGTTAGAATAGTTGCCCCTTATGGATAGGGGAATGGATCGGAAAATCCGCCTCATCGGGGAATCTGATTCTTGACACGTATTGCCTTTTGGTTGCCTTATATATAAGGAATTCTAATCCATGCCATAAGGAAGAAAAGGAACAAGCATACCCTTAACAAAGAAAGACCTTGTAGGTCAGGGAGAACATATCACACAGAGCAAAAAACAAAGAAAAAAGCAATAATGAAAAGATGACTCAGGAAATAGGTCTTTAGCTTTCCAACAACTCTGTTCCTTGTTCGTTTACGGGGACCTCACAACCGGTCCCCTCCTTGGTCCTAGTTTTGTTGAAACTTCCACTGAACAAGTAGATCAAACAGTTTGAGCAAGAGTTTGAAGATTTGGTGATCATTAGGAGATCTCGGCCAGGCTCTCCCTGTTGAATCTGCTCTATGAGTTTATGAGCTCGGCTCTGAAAGCCTGGAAGGATTATAGTATAGCAAGTAGATCTAGTTTTTGCTCTTCTTTTGCTAGGTGAGTTTGCTATCTTTCAGTGTTATGCCTCATAGCTTGGGTGAAGCCTTCTTATTAGACTGATGTTTCAGGTTCTTCGCCTGTGGATTGGTCCTCGGAAATAACAGCAAAACAAAAAGGGAAGGGAGTTACCCGCTGGATGGGTCGCCGATTGCTCGGAGATCACAGGCATCCTACGCCGGATAAGGTGACTCGTTTAGGGCGAACCCCCCAGATGACTTAGCTGACAGAGCTAAAATGAGTTAGAGAATTGGGTCGAGTTAAGCCTTGCGTTCGGAGCCCTTGGAAGTGTCAGATGCTTGAACTTTGGATGATTGAAAGGCAGAAGGGGTAGATTCGCTAAGATATATTGCATGAGGAATCCAATTCAATCATCTCAAACGAAAAGGAAGGCCAAAAGGAACCCAAGACTGCAAGACAAGAAAACAGGAATAGGTTTTCAAAAATTGTTTCAGTAGAACAATCTCTATCCTCCCAATTAGGGAATAATACAAAACTTCACCAGAGGAAAGACTCTAGCATAGTGAATTTAGAAATTTCCAACAATTTTAACCACAGAATAAGAAAACATACAAAAACTTAAAGACATCCAACAAACAAATTATTGCAGAAAATAGTTCAAATATCTAAATTATCTAAAATATTATAATATTAAGCTGAACGTATCAATACTAAGGACTCACCATAATCCTGATGAAATAATTAAACCAAAACTGCAATTAAAAGAAGTGCAAATTAGTTCCAAATCATAACGTTGAACAACAGCCAACTTAAACTTAATCAAACAGACTGAAACCCATGTCATCATCAGATTCTTCGGCCGGTTCCTCCTTCTTCTCTTCCTCCTTAGATGCAGCAGGAGCAGCAGTGCCAGAATCAGCTGTTGCAGCTGGGGCCATGGCAACCGCAAACTTGCTGGGATCCTGCAGTCCATCCCCACCAAAACAGGTCAATCATATGCACAATGAACAGAATTTTGAAATGGCATTTCATGAAATAGTAACCCTAATCAGCAAAAGCACTATTTACCTCAAGGTATTCCTTCACTTTATTGGCCTGGGGGAAGGAATATCCGGTTTCCAGTGCAACAGCCAGGACATTTTTGTAGGCATTAATGAACATGTGAGGTGCAGCTGCAAGTGATGGGTAAGCGATGGCCAGTGACAGTGAGGTAACCAGGGAAACTCCAGAAGCAAACTTCTCAATTAAATCATCTTCTGTCAGATCAAGCACCTCAGGACTGAAGACTGATCCATTATCATAAACAGACAGTACAACAAGACCATACGAGAAGGGTCTTATTCCAAGTTTTGCAAGCAGTGCAGCTTCAGAAGATCCCACTTTGTCACCCTTTTTGATAAGCTCCACAGGGGTGATAATTTCAACAGTACCCTTGTTAATCTTGGTGGGAATATTAAGCACCTGAAAGCTGATTGTGTGAGAAACAATCGTGCAAAAGCAAAGAATATTGTTCTAACCGGGGATTGAGAATAAGGACCTGGAAGAAAGAGGTCTGTGAAGGATCAAGTCCAGTGTTGCCGGGAGGGACAACAACATCAACCGGAGCCACCAAACCAACACGAGCAGGAGCTCCAACCTATTCAAAGTAGAAATCAAATCAAGCATGAGCACAACAATACATCTGGGAGTTAAAGCCAAGTTTCAATTATATGAAGAACTATGGCTCCAAATCCACACTATATCATTGGCAAAAAAAATCTATTTTCAATCTACACTAAAAAAACCTATAGCTAGAAATCCTAATGCATGGGAAATAACAGACACCAAATGTTTTTTTATTGGCATCATAAATATAGACGTTTGACATGGTAACATGCTTAAAAACAAAAATTCTTTGACAAGCCAAGTCCTTAGCTACAAAAATGACTGCACCAGTATAGAGTTTGTGCTATAAACTTATAGTTGTATAATTCATACATTTTTTTTTTTGTAAAAATAAAACAACAGCCACAAATTTCATTTATCATAAACAATCCACTAAAGTTAGTGTCAGCCACCTAATGGCAAATACCAAACTGAAAACAAAAACATATAAACAATAAAAGCAAAATCACAAGAACAGTTAAAGAATGTGCAGAAATCAATATACCTTGTATTTAGCGACCTCCTCACTCACTTCCTTTAAATCACCCTTAGTGAAGATCAACCCAACATTACCCTGATTTCCAAAACAATAATTAAAAAATAAAAATTTGAAATTAGTAAATCTGACACTGAACCATAACTATCAGAAACAAAAATCTATAAAGCAGCATTGAAATTTAAATTGCACATTTATATAAAATGAAAATAGAAGTCACAGGAAATGAATAAATGGGAGTACTTACGACAAGGAGTGGAATGAGATGGAGGAAGACTTTGTTGCCGGTATTCTCAGCATGAATCCTGATGGAGCGCTTCATCATGGTGTTCTTACCCATCAGAACCACCGAATCGCCGCGAAGACCCCTTCGGATGTTCTGCAACTGGTTGGAACCGACATTGTCGGCCGCAGCTACTAGGATCTGGTTGTACTCATCCAGAAGCTGGCACAGCTTCTGATCGTAAGCAATCTTCTTCTCGGCCTTTGATGTTTTCACCGCCATTGAATTGATTGAATCGACTTCGAGTTTCAGATATAAAACAACAACGAAATGTGTGTGTACATATGTGTATCTGTGTGGGTATATATGTGTGTTTATCTGTGTGAAACCCTAAGAAAGTGAACAAAAACGAGGGCCAAGACGAAGCAAGAGCTTTGCCAAGGCGGACAGCAAGCTAAGCCGTCGCTTTAACCTCCCTGTGCCTAGCTTCGACTGTTTTCGAGTAGTGGAAATAAAACCCTAGTTGCAGCGAGAGAGAAAGATGGTGAACAGTTCGAATTTATAGTGAAGAATATTTTGGGTTTCAGTGGGCCTGTTTTCTGATTGGGCCATAATGATAAGATGGGTTTTCTCCTGTATTCCTATGGGGAGACTTCATTTATGTGGCCGGTCCAATTAAATTGGGTCTGAATGTGACAATTACGTGGGCCTTCCATGTGAAACTTTCGGCCGTGTTTTGTCATTTGTGTTAAGAGTTTTTCTCAACTTACCCACCCACCAAGTTTTTCCTAACGGACAAAGAGGGGGATGTATAGGGTGCATAAAAACAAGAAAAAAGAAAATAAAAGGCATAAACATAATTATCCAATATTGTTAACCATTTATCTAGGTTTTGTCTTTTAAAAATATAAGGGCAAATTTAATATTAACAAAATTTCACTAAAAATGCTAATATTTCTTTCTATTCCTTTTAATTGCTGCCTATTTTTGGGAGGTTAACAAAACCAAAACCTCATTCCTAATTTGTACCTTTCAAAATTCCTTTATTTCCTTTCTTTTCCTTTAATAATCTATACCAAACATAATATAATATTTCATTTCCTTCCATTATTAATTTTTTTTTTTTCTTTTCCTTTAGTTACCCTCCAACCAAATTAAGCCTCAAGGATTTTGAGTCATGCCACGTCACACAAAGTCTTGTGTCACATGCTATACAAATAGAAACATTATCGTTGAATCGGATAATAAGTATTCAGACTTATTACAAGTGGTACCACAATCGATCTAGTTTAGTAGTGTAAGAAACGCTTACTCAAAAAGGATTTAAGTCTAAGCTGTTAGTCCTCCCATTCACTGCAGCTTTATGAACATCAAGTGATCCTTTGTCTAATGATTCAAAATACAATAGAAGGTCAACGGAACTTGCATTAAACAAAGTGATTCTATCACAACGAAAGCATCTGTGGTGGATGGAGGTGTTCTATGATTGGATCTTCGTGCTGGAAAGGTAAATAATAAGTTGATCCTACCGAAACAACCTACCACCTTTTAAGTGTTTTTATTTTTTATTTTTTTAAAATACATGTATAAAAGAAGAAACTGATCTTACGAGACAAAAGCATACATTGTTTTTATTTTTATTTTTATTTTTATTTTATTTTATTCTGTTTTGTTACATTGACACAAAAAATAAATAAAAAACCTATCACAGGATTAAAGAGGAGAAAAATAGCAGGGTAGTAAAAAGAAGTTGGTGGGGAACGGAAGGGAGGTCTACATGTCCAAAATGCAAATCTTTACTTCCGACTGCGACTCACTAACACAAGCTCCGACCGACCTCCAATAAATACCCACGAGAGTCGGTTCCGACGTCACCGTCAATGGCGTCCGCCGGAGGTTCGACCTACCGAGATCGGACGTTAGAATTCCGATCTCTGTCGGAAACATTGAAGAAGATCGGAGGGATCGCAGCCTCAAATGGAGCACAGACCGATCCAGCTACATCCAAACCACCGCCTTCCTCCTACCGATCCGAATTCAACAAGAAGGCTTCGCTAATTGGATTGGGCGTCCACGAGGCCTCTCTGAAGATCGCTAGACTCGCCAAACGTATGCCTCCATTCCTCTGCTTTCTGTGTGTGAATATATATACATGAGTCTTCAATAAGCTCCCTGTTCTAAAATATAGTTCCTCTTTTGATCCTTTAATTTTGCTTATGGTGAACTACTATGGCAACAATTATGTAAAGAAAATATATCGTTTGGACGGTAAAGTATGAATTCAAAACTGAAAATTTTGATGATTTTATCGGTTTAGTAGGAACGTTTTAGCTTATGAACGTTTTTTTGAACATCAATTGCAGTTTTAAGGGTTTGGACTCTACATTTGCCACATAGGGTGGTTTACTTGTTGAAGAACAAGGCTGGTCGTGCCTGTGGTGTTGGCATAGTGGTTGGCACAAGTGCTTTAGATTTTGGGAAGCAATCTACCTTGTAGTTCAGTTTAATCATAATACAATATGGGTTTTAGGCTTGTGGTTGTTAAGGGGACATGGTTATTATCCCAAGAAGAATCTAAGTGATCTCGAGTGCATTTTTTGGTGGAGACTTTTGAAATGATAATTCTGTTGGCATGACTTGTAGAAATCCGTGTTTAGCCACTCAAATAAGAGTTTTTCAATTTTTGGATAGGTAAGCTACTCACATACCCACAATTGCCCCCAAGGGGACTTGAATCCTTTACCTTCCATTTTGGTTCTCAAAAGGTAGAATCTAGCATGTGGATGTGCTGGGTTGAAACTCAACCCAACTTAGTGCCTTTTTGGTGTTGACATGTCGTGGTTTGGCAATCCCGAATTAGTGCTTTCAATTTGGCAACTTCTTCCATCCAGTGTTTGGCTGCATCAGCACTTTTTTTGTTGGAGAGATTGTGGTCTATGGCATATATGGCCAAAACTCCAATTTGGTACTTTTAGTTGTGTATTGCGTGAGTAGGTATAATGTATAGGAGTATATTAATTTATACCAAAAGATGTCAATTGCTAGACAGGCATAAAAGTACTTCATAGGAGGAGCATTACCAGGCTAGGTCATGACCTGATGTGGCCAAGCCAGATGTGGTGTTTTGGTCATGCCACCTTAAGCTCTTGATTCTACCCAGTCTCCTTTTGAAAGAAAGAAGCATCCGTAATCAAAGGCCTGGGTTAAAGGCAGTCGAAATGTAGATTCTCTGATCGACTAAAAGGATTTTATTTCCAACAATTAATAATGTTGGAGATGAGGACACTCTAATCAAGTGCCTAGATCATCATGGGAAGGAATGGTGAGAAAAACATGTGTTACTAAACCTCTATCTCCCTCCCTTAAAGTTTCTTATATGAAAGAAGACTAACCTTTTGTTCAACATCTATAATCTACTTTTTAAGACTTTAAAAACCCTAAGATTTGCATTATGACCCACTTCTGAATCATGATACTCAGAGGCTATAATGCAATGTCAAAGCCTTATAAAATTTGCCTTTCTTGTTCTCTTTTTCCAAAGAACATGTTTTGAGACAGACATATGGGGTGCATTTCCTTCCCTACAGATATAAAGCCCAGCACGGCGGGATGTTGTCTGAAATCTTAATATCACTTTTTCTGCAGCTTATGATTATCTTCTTGCTGTTTTTTCCCCTTTCCTTGGCTGAAAATCCTTCTAATGTTAATTTTATCTTTCAAATTACCAGAAATGATGTGCTCCACTGGGACCGGGGGAAAAAAAAAACACAAAAAACAAGATCACTTTCCTTGATGTTGTAAATTCTGTGATGCACTCAATTTCTGCGTCAATAATGGCCTGTAGTTTTTGCCTCACTTTACTATTTAAAATTTCGTACGTTGGACATCATGAAAAGATGTTTAAATCACGAATCTATATTAAAATTTGAGGTGAAGATCTTTTCAATTATCTTCTGCATTTCTTTCTTGTTTCCAACATCTTGAAGAATCTCAGAACAGTAAGCCTGTGATGTTTTTTATATGATCAGTTTTCAGACTACAGCAACTGGATGATGATGTGCTAACATTTGGATGATGTTTTGACTGATATGCAGTGGCCAAAAGGTCATCAATTTTTGATGATCCACTCAAGGAAATTCAAGAATTAACCGCTTTAATAAAAGATGACATCACAACGCTTAACATAGCAGTTTCTGATTTGCAAACCCTCCAAAATATGGAAATAGCTGATGGAAACTATTCTGAAGATCGAGTTGTTCATTCGACTACCATTTGTGATGATTTGAAGAATAAACTTATGGGGGCTACAAAGCAGTTTCAGGACGTGTTAACTGCTAGAACAGAGGTCGGTACTTACCCTTTGCTTTACCTCTTATAACCTTTTCATCATTGTAACGTCACTTTACTTTTTTCAACAGAATATAAAAGCTCATGAGAATAGGAAACAGATATTTTCTACAAATGTATCAAGAGAGGGCCCTTTAAAGCATCATGCAAATACCGTAACTGAGCCACCTCCTTGGTCTAGTTCATCTAATTCATCTGGGAATTTGCAATCTGCAGTGTGAGTTTTTTTGTTTTAAACTTTCTATTGTCATTTAAAAAACTTATTTCACAATGAACACAAGTAAGGAAATAGTACAATAGTAGGCTCCTTGTTGTATCTTTTCACAATGAACACAAGGAAATAGTACAATAGTAAGGATCTTTGTTGGATCTCTTAATATGGTATTTTGTAACTAAAGTGGCTATTGTTTTGCATTTTAGAAGTATATTGGAGGAACTGTAGTCTCTGACTACAGTAATGTAAGTAGGGATGGCAACGGGGTGCGGGGGCGTCCCTATCCCCGTTGCCGTTCAACAAAGTAAACCCATTTCCACCCAAACCGGTTTATAGAAGACCCCCTAGCCGGTCCCTGCCCCAGCTTTTAGTCCGGTTCAATGCGCCAGTCAGTCTGCCCCGTCCATGTCAGCTTAAATTTCCCCGCTCTGCCCCGCCCCCATTTAACGATCTTTTATGTTTATTTATAAAACAATAGAAATGGCATGAGTTTATGAAATGATAAAGGGATAAGATAATAGGGTTTTGGTGTTTTAGTTTATGAAAGGGTATTTTAGTATTTTTAGTACTATATAAGGTATTTAAGTAATTATACAATATAAACAGGGTGGGGCGGGGGTATCTATTCCTGTTTCCGCCCCTCACCTGCACAGGTTTTTATTCCTCTGCCTGTTCCCACCCCATTATTCCTTAGCCCGTTCCCACCTCATCATCGATTAAACCACTCCAAATCCATCCCAATAGGGGCGGGGCAGGGTAATTTGCCACCCCTAAGAGTAACACCTAGAGGGAGGGTTAATGGGTCTTGAACAAATCCTGAGTAACTTAACTAGTTTTTAAATTATAACTAATTAATAGCAATTTAAGAATCAAACTAACAAGTAAGAAAATTTCTTTTTAAAATTTTACTTAAAAAAAAAAACACTAACTAGTAAGAAAATATGCTAATCCAACCATAATATAAATCATGCATGTGAAATATTAAGGTAATAAAAAAAAACAATCACTTAGAAGAATGTACAGACTAAGTTACCAGACTTTGACCCAAGAATTCCTTAGTCCATCCCAAATCAGACTTATGTAATATCAACTCCAGATCTTCAAGCAGTTAATTCATCAACCCCTTATGCAGTCTGCTTCTGCATGGATTTTATATCTCCTTGCCAGTAACATCCTCTTTTATGTGTAGATTTGTCGGTAAAAGTTTTTATGCACAACATTGATACGTCAAAATCTGAACGATCCATTTCCAATGCTAGATGTATGATGATGGATGCAAAAACACAAAACTCTAGTAAACAAAGGATTACTAGAATTCACAAGCAAGGTGAATTGTAAGCCTATAAGCACTAGTATACCCTAGAACTTGTTCTTCTGTGTTCTTTCTGTACCTTCCTGAATATATGTGCTTTTTTATGGATTGAGAGACTTTAGGTGGTTTAATTCAAAGTTAACATGGGTAGAGTCGGTGAGGAAGGATATGATATTTTATCTACCTTGGTTTTCTTAAATTCCTGATAATGTTTTGTCGAATCTGCTCTGTACTTTTTATGCACCTTTTTTTTTTTTTTTTGGGTGATGTTAAACTGTTTATGTAATTTCTTTAGTGATTGCCCTTCCACCTTTTCATTGCTAGTAACCTAGTATTAATTTCATTTTATGCATTTGTTCTATAATTTGAGTTTTCTTAAATTATTTATATTCCTTTTCCTTTCTTTTTCCAGATCACCATTAAATGGAGTTACAGCAGGGAACCAACTAAGGTGTGTTCTCATGTCATTCTGCATGTTTTTTTCCACCCTTGGTAGACCATGAATAAATATTTCTGTATTGATTGATTACATCTATAATGAATTTGGGCCTGAAAATGAACTATTCACATTCGATTAGAATCTAAAGAGTATTGAACCCTTCTATGCAGAAACTGTCAAAAACAATTTACTCTTTTATTTATTTATTTATCATTTAAAAAAGAGTGTTGAAGATTTACACTGCATATCCTGGGCAGTGTTATATAGAATCTTGGAATCAAGCATTATGACATCATTGACAGTAGAAAATTCTATTATTAGTCTGAACAAAGGAGTGTTTAACATGCTTGGTTGTCAAATATGGATGTCCTTTTTTTTTTAATGCCAGAGTGAAAGGTGTCTCAAATACAGTGATTTGGAAATTGGCGTCCTCATCCGAGACAAAATCAACCAGGATTCTCATGGGGAATTGTATGAGTTTTGGATTGATTTCATTCATTAAGCTCGATTGTCTCGTCACGATCTCTAGGCATTGTTGCTATCCATTTTGCTTCTGATTCCCATTTGCAAGATATGGTGTTTTACTCGTTTTGTTTCCTCCTTAAATTATGTACCAATTGCTTGAGATAAATCCTCAGTAAAAATCTTAATTTTTATTTGTTTTCTTTTGTACATTTTTTCAATTATTGGAGCTTTTTTTGGTAGAAGGGATGAAGTGACGTATAGTTGAGAGATTTGTATTTTCGAGTAGAAAGAAAATTCATTTGAGTAATGAAAGAAGTTTGTGTAACTAATAAGAGGAGAAGGAGAAGAAAAAGAGGGAATTTTGAGCCATACTATTACAAAGCATATTAGTACAAGATTGTGTTCTATAGGATAGCGGAGTTCACATGAAAGACCTAACAAGATTGAGAGAGCACATCTTTTACTTGGACTATACAAAACCTTTTTTTTTTGGTTATAAACAACTTAATTTTTTTTTAAGAAAATTCTTTTCTCGTGTTTGGCTTACCTGTAATTGAGAGTGCACAACTTAATTGTATGTCCGCATTTTGATCAAAGGATGACAAATTACGTCTTTCTGCCAAACATTTTTTGCACGCCCGGTGGGACAAGTTGTAAAATTGATAAATGTTTGGAAGAAGAATGGGAACAAGATCAAATCCGGACAGCCCAAAACAGGAAGGGGTCAGTCATTCCCAAGTCTCAGTAATCGTTTGATTCTCACAACAATTCACAGGCAAATTGGGAATATTTGTTTGGTTATCATTCCAACTCTGGCACGCCCCACCAGAAATTTTTTTATTTCTATTTTTCCGGAGGGTAATGCCCCACCAGAAGTTGTTTTCTGATTTTCCGACAGAAAATATTTTTATGCTGAAACAATCGGACCCTAGTTTGATGATAAGAATGGAGTTGTACCATATTTACTTAACAATTTCATCTAATTAGCAGAAAACACAATTTTAATCAATTTAAATTTCAAAGCATGGACATCAAACAATCTACAAATATTTTGAGTAACTGGTTCCTTTCTTTGTTCTATCCCTTTTAAAGCTTGTTGCATCTTTCATTTTATTCCTTTTGAAATGTAGAAAATATATTTATGAAAACAATGTGAAAAACGAAGTCACGTGTGACAAGAGTTTATTTTAAAATAATGCGATGAGCCTGATGGTAGATTATTATGGAGTTGCCACCTAACATTCAGTCAACGTGTGTTAGGCAACCTTAAAAACAAATTACGGGAAAGAAAAAAATGTTTAGGGAGTGTTTGGAGTGTTTGATAATATTTTCTGAAAATGATTTTTGGAAAAGCTCCTTTTTAATTAGTGGCTCTGTATTGGTCTACTTTGAAACAAAAATCATGGACTGGGCAGCTTACTTATGCATGGGGAAGGGGTATTAGGAACTCCAAAACATCTGGTTATAAGGTTACCATGTATCATCGCTCTTGTATATACCTCTATATGATCATATTTCATTAAGTTTAAAAAATGGATGAAGGCAAAGTGGGGGTGTAACTAAGGCTACTTTGAAACTGTCCCTATAAGTTGTAATCATACACTAAAGGATTAATGCATAAGTTGATAGTTGAATTTAATGTCGTTTAGGGTTATACTTAAAACACGTTGGAATATCATGGAGAGTGAAAAAAAGAAAGAAAGCAAGAAATAGGGAAGGAGGAGCGAAAAAGTGAGTCGAAGCTTGGAATCCGTTGTGTTTAAAATTGATTTTTATTTTTATTTTTATTTTTTCTGGAAGTTTTTTAGATTGAAATTTAATTGATACATGTTAGCGTATTGTTAAAGCATGGACACGTGTGTTATGTTTAACTTGGAAGTGATAAACTATATTTGTGTGAGTTGGAGTAAATGCATAGTAGTACCTTGATGACATGGGATGATAGTGTATAGAAATATGATGTGGTTGAGGATGGCAGCATATTAGTACCTTATATGACAGGTTGGTAACATGTTAATACCATGTTAAAATTAATTTTGTATCACATTACTTGCAGTGTGGTGTTAGTGATAGCATAATAATAATGGTATCTCATAGGTTTATAAAAATAGGTCATGGAGTACCTTAGGATCCAAACTTGATTTAGTCTTGTTAGGATAGTACCTAATCAATTACTTGGACTAGATTCCATTTTTTTTAGGTACTTGGGGAAAATGAGCGAAAGTATGGCATATTTAACATGTACCTTAAATAGAATGTCACCTAAGCCATGTGGGACATGATGCCGTTCCATAGGTACTTGAAATAGGATCTTGGAAGCATGTCTTGGAAATTATTTTAAATCTTTTTGAAAACAAACGAAAGCCGGTAGACTTGATATCATTTTGACATACAGAAAACAAATGATAACATACTAGTTTGAATTTAAGCATTTATTTAGATTTGAGGAAATCTTGAAACTAGTGAAAAAATGACTCAGTTTGAAGGCTTCTACCAACTAGCGAGAATTAACTAGAGTTTTCAATGGAGATTTTGAAAGGGTAATAATAGGGATTTTGTGTTTAATTTGAGTGAGAGAATAGATGGGAAAGATTTGAAGATGGAAGCCCCATTTAAAAATGTGATGGAGTTTTGGATATCTTGATTATGAGAAAATATTTTCCAAAGAAATTGTTTGGCATGGTTTGCATTAATGCGTACGTAAAAATGTGTTCTTAGAAGATGATCTCCTTCCTGAACTTTTCTTCTCGCTTTGGGCAGAACCTTTAATGTGCAATAAATCAAAATTTCAATCAAATTCTTGCTGATTCGTTCATTTTTCCTGTGTGTATGTCTTCTTGTTCTATGAACATGTACAAGACTCTTGCTGGTACCCCTGATGTTTCTTGAATGACTTACTTCTCATGCTATTCGTTTTTGCAGTCCAATTCAATCAGCTATTAAAAGTTGGTTTAGTTTTTGTTAGTATATTAAGTAGCTGTACTCCTTCCTGATATAAGTGCAACTAAATTTATTCTCTCTATTTCTCATGTATTGTTTCCTAGCATATCGGAGTAACGGAGTTTGCATTACTTTCATGTTAGTTATTGAGATTTCACTTGATGTTCTGCATACCTGAGACTTACTTCCCATTTGGAATTGCACAAAAAAGACTATTTACCTCAGAGGGGTCTGCGGAAAATTCTGGGAAAACATCAACGGCTGCTGGCTTATTTGTCAAAAAAAATAGAGTATGTTATAAAGAATTAATTAGTCAGTTGGGTATTCAAGAGACAAAAACTCGCCTGACTCAAAAATTAGATGTCCTATTGCTTTACCAAAGTATTATTCTGACTTGAGGCATCTGGATTCCAAAGCTCTTTGATGCTTGTTAACAGCTTTCGTCAAAACTTCTTTCAGACGAAGGCTAGCTTCTGAGAACAATCCATCCCAAAGCATGGAAGTGTCCATGTTGCAGCAGGTTGTTCCACGGCAGGAGAACTATTCCCAAAGTCGTGCAGTTGCTCTTCAAAATGTGGAATCCACAATTTCAGAACTCAGTGGGATCTTTGGCCATTTGGCCACAATGGTTGCACATCAAGGGGAATTGGCTATCAGGTTTCTTCTTTTTCTTGAAAATCTATTGTTTAAACCCCTGCATCTTTAAATTCATATATTTTATCTGCCTGGGTTTGGAGTGTAAGGAATCAAACTAGAGTACATATGACCATCAAACATTAGCTTGAGTGGTATCTTCTCCACTTCCCAAAGAGGAGGTCGTTCCAAGACCCGAAAGGGGGAAAGTGGTTCTATGTATGTTCTTCTCAATTAAAAGAAAATAAATAAAGAAATTAGAGCAAATATGGCATATCTCCTTTTGGAGCTATAAGTGCATTGTTTTCTGTTCACCGAATTAAATTTTTTACTTTCCCATGTTTTAATGTTTAAAATATGCCTGGTTTATATATGATCAGGATTGATGATAACATGGAGGAGTCGTTGGCAAATGTTGAAGGTGCTCGCAACGCGCTGTTGAGGCATTTAAACCAAATTTCATCGAACAGGTGGCTCCTAATCAAGATATTTGCTATTTTGATCTTCTTCTTGTTGGTATTCTTATTCTTTGTGGTTTAATGAGTGGCTAAAGAGAACAAATTATGAGCCGATCAAATGCCGGAGAAGAATGTATAAAACAGAAACTGTAGGACAAGATGAAATTTATCTTGGATTATTTGAATAGTTTTGTAAAACATAAACTTTATGTTCTTAGAAACAGAGATGATTTCATTCAATTACAGAGTTGGTTTTTGTTCTTTTGATGTTTATTGTAATCTTCCACTGCCTCTTAATTTGGTGTTTTTCTCCGCCATTGATCGATCTTCTCCCTCACATACAAACCCTAATACAGGTCACTAGGGAGGAAAGAGAAACAAATCGATAATACATAGAAAGAGATCTGTGAAGCAATTTGTTTGTTGCATAGTAATAGTTATTGATCATATATATTGGTAATAAGGGTATTCCAAAGGGGGTAGAAATGTCATTTTATACATAAAACATTCCTTCAGAAAGTCAAAAACAGCGTCATTTTACATGGATTGAAGTGCTCCAACTCCAATTAAAAATGTGGGGTGTGAGAAAATGAATTAAATGTTTAATCCTTATCAAATTTTAGAGGGTATCATTGAAATTAACCTATGCTTGATCCAAAATCTTCAAACAACAATAATCTTAATTGAAAAATGGTATTAACCTGCTTTCTGGAAAAATCTCCTTAAAAAATCTCATTTTTAAGGAGAACATACCACGTGTATCTTTTCGTTAGCTTTCCAACATCTCCAACTATGCTCAATTTCGATTTAAAAGGAGAGAGATGCTAGTTTTTGTAACATAGTGAAGTGTTGGATTGTAAGCGATTTTCTTCAAGCACGCTTTAATGGAGTTTTATGAGCACAATTATTGCACAAAAGACCACCAAATCTTCATTCTTATAATCTATAAGTATTAGGAAGAGTTGGCTCCTATCACCAGAGAAAGAACAATTCTAGTGAGAGAAAATATATGAAGTTGTCTTGTACACTTTATGAAAAATCATATGTTGTGTTCTATATATAGATATATATAGTAGCAGCTCTAATTTTCCTTAACAGGAATAGCCGCTCTAATTTTCCTTTCTTTTTATCTCTCTAAATTACTTGCTTATTATTTACTATGTTGGGCTATACATGATATCTAATGCGCGTATTTATTTTATTACCTCCCAATGGACTTAATTAAAGTACCAATAAAAACTGTGATTAAATTAATTCAACTTATTCACTATTTATTAATTCCACAGTATAAAAATAATTACACTTCAAATAATAAATTAATTATAATTATACTCATAAGAGTAAATTCCAATAATGTTAAAATATATTATCTCTTTGCACAAATTAGGATATTAGATAAATTGTATAGTTATCAATCCAATCACTAATTTATCCTTTATTATGAATTTTCAATTAAACTATTTAATTACAAAAGTATTCATTGTGAAAATAATATATTTAATAAATAAATATATGCCCTCTATTCGACAAAACTGACGCCTGAATTTATTGTGATCAAAATAATCAAGTTAATGATAAATGAACTAACATATACTCCTTATGTCATGTTGAGATTACTTGTACAAACTTCCATATATTAATTAATGATTACTCAAATTATTCAACGTTGATGCAAAAATTTGTACTGTCCGGAGCCGTGGTGTTTCCTGTAAGACAAGAGAGAAGTGACAACAGGCGTGGTTCCGGTCGGGTGCACTCCGACGGTCAAGTTAGTACTACAACTGTTGATGCAAAAATCTTAACGGTCCGGAACAGGGGTGTTTCCTGCAAGACGAGAGAAGTGACAACTGGCGTGTATCATGAAACAAAATTACTTTTCTTATCTATTATGGATTTAAGAGTTACTGGAGAGGGTAATAGTTGTTATTTCTATCTCCCTTAAGTTTATTCCTTTGAGTCTCCATGTCACTTGGAATTCTTATCTAGTCGAATATTCCTTAGACTTACCGTTGTCATCTGTAAGCTTAATACTTATCGTACTTTATAGGCTTAATCCTTATCGTAATCTATATCTATAGAACCTATCTCAACCTTATGAGATGGTGCATTAATTTAACAATCTTTTCCTATTTATTTGAAACAAATAGTCCTCGAACAAATAAAACTCTTTGATTAATTTTCAACCCAGATAAAATTGAAAAAGTATCAAGGGCATTCTTGAGAAATGAAAACTGAGTGGATATATCCATGAGAGCATTAGAAGATTACCTACAAATGTTATGTGAGTTACAGATATTTTCTTGCACCTACATTGAAATAGCATAAAGGATGCATATGTGGAAGAGAGTTTTGATATGATATGGTAAATGTTTCGATGGTTCAGTAGATTATTGCTTTAAGTGAATTTTGAAGTGTCAGGTTTTAATTTTTTCTATATATTGATCTAACTTTTAATTTTTTTTACCTTGTAAAAAGTAAAAAGAAAAAAGAAAAAGGTTGTTTATAGCAATTACAAATGGAAATGGGTATAGCGGATTCCCTTGCCCAAGACTTTTCACTCCTTAGAAGAAACCAAGAAATTTCCCACTCACATCAATACTGAAGGAAGGAGAGGTGATACATGTGCTTCTTGGTATTTTTCTAGACAAAAAGGGCCGGTTAAAATTTGACTCCGCATGCTAACAATTCAACTATCAAATTTTCATTATCAGACCAATTATCTGAAAGCATTTGGGTGATTTGATACCATCCATACATTTTTCTAAAGGATAAAGTACAAAAACACTTCTTGAAATTTGAGGTAAGGATAAGCAGATGAAAGTTAACTCATTTTTAGACAACCACACCTCTTGTGAAATTTCTCATTCAAACAAAAACTTAAAACATATAAAAAGTCCATTTTACCCTTCATTAATTTATTAATTTTAATTATAAAATATTTAAATGACCAAATTACCCTTTTCATCCCTTTATCTCTCTCTTTCTATATATATTGCTGTCCTTTACCCTTTTAAACAAAGACAGAAATCGGTTGCAAATCCATTTAAAAATGGAAAGAGGATCCTCAGGTTAAAAATATAAGTGGTGAAACGAAAGAACAAAACATTGTTGTTTCGCCCAAATTTGGTTGCCTTAACCGGCCAGTACTATCCCAAATTGGTTGCCTTAACCAAATCCTTTGCTATTCCGATGATTATGAAAAAGGTGGTCTGGTACTGAGGACTGCAGTATGAAGTCCAGAGCGAAATATGAAATCAAGCCACAGACAAGTTTTCTATATCAAACTTGCGAACAGAAACAGGAACCTTAACAGTTTCGCAACTGAAATTGGGGTTGGTATATCGACTAAGTATATCTATATATATATATATATACACACACAACAGTCACCATCACCCCCAACCTAGACCCGAAAGCTTCGGCCATGATACCAACTCCACACCTTCCAACCACTGGCCGACGAGTGGCTCACCATCTTCAACGGCAATTGATGTTTCGGATCGCTGCGGGGCTCTGTTGCGGTCGATCCGCGGGTACAAATTTGATCAGGCTCCATTTTTTCATGGCTCTGTTGCGGTGAAGAATCCGTCGCCGTCTTGAAGCCACCGTCTCACATCGTCGTTGTCGTGGGTTAGGTCAAGATCAAGCTCCAATTTTCAGCGCCGTCGTTAGATTAAGATCGGGCTCCAATTTTCGGCAATTCTGTCTTCCTTGCTCGTCACCGTGATGAATTGATAATGATGATGTTGAGGGATGATCTTGACATATGTGAGTGCGTGATTTGTGGTGGTGGTGGTGGTGACGATATATGTGTGAGTATGTATATGTCGTGTGTCTATACAGACTATATATATATATATATATATATTATAGTAGTAGTTTGAGTTAGGGTTTGAGAGAGAGAAAAGAAAAGAAGAGGGTAAGGATATTTAAGTTAATTGTATTTATGAATTTTATATCGAAGAGTAATAAAATTAATTTATTATTATTGGGCGTCTTTGTCTATTTTATTAAACTTCACGATAATTTAAATGTTCAAAAATGATATAACTTCCGTTTACCTGTCCTTATACCAAATTTTAAGAGTGTTAGGGTACTTCTTTATTTTTTTTCAAATAACCATTTTATCATTGAAAATGTGGGTCCTAGACTCAAACTAGACATTTTTTTTTTTTTTTTTTGGGAATTTTGAGAAGAATGGAGTCAAATTCCTGATTTGACATCCCAATTTTCCCGTAAAATTACTATTTTGCCACTATGCTCGGTTTTGCTCCCCAATGCGGATTGCTTGATGCCTACAGTAAATTTAGATGGATAGTGGAAATCATTAAAAAATCTATGTATAAAAAATACAATGAAAAATTGAGTTTATAAAAGAAAAAAAAAATCATGAAAACGAGAATAAGTTAGACAAATACAATTACAAAAAATAAAAACCAAAATTTTAGTTAATTATAAAATTATGTATATAAAAAAGAGAGAATCAAAATTTTGAAATTTAAAATTTGAAATTTGGTTCTCTCTTTGAGCAAAAGTGCCACTGAGAGCTAAAATGATGGTGACGACAATGTTGTCAGGAAAATTGGTTCAATATAATTAATTGCATTGAAGGATATTGTATGTTGATATGGGTGCAAGTATATATATATATATATATAAATTTTGAATTTCGAAATTTGAAATTTGGTTCTTTCTCTTGGGCAACTGAGAGTTAAAAAGATGGTGACGACAATGTTATCAGGAAAATTGGTTTAATATAGGAGTAATTAATTGCATTGAATGACATCTGTGTGCTTGTGTTTTATACCGTTGCACGACTTGTACTAGTATTTATACGCCCATGGATGATGGGCCACCAGAAAAAAATATATATATTTTTAGGGCAAATCATTTCAGCCTCCCTAATCGCCGTCTGTGTCTCGTTCTCGGCTCTGAACTAACCCCCTCTCTCTCTCTGCAACTGCAAACTACAAAATCTACAAGAATCAGAAGTTCAAAACCTATATATTTCAGCTTATCTATCTGTCTGCAAGAATCAAAAGTTCAAAACCCATATCGGCATATCATTTCAGATTGTTCCAACAATCAAAACCCATATCTTTCAGTTTCCATCGCCCGCTGTTCCAGTTCGGGTTCGCCGTTCGCAGGCTTCAGCCGCTGTCTCTCAACTCTCAAGCTTGCTCCCCTCTCTCTCTGCAACTGCTAACTGGTATGTATGGGTTTTCTTTTAATTTTTTTTTTTTTCTAAATCAACTAATCAAGGTCTG